TTGTGGTGGGCTCCAAATTCAACTCCTGGCATACACAGGTATGTAGTCCCCATTGAAGTGAACTGGAGTTGAGTTCAGCAAAGTCACTGGGGATTTCCACCCATTTATGCCTGGCTGCATTGGGAATGGAGTGACATCACCTCAAATAGCTGGTGAGTCTTTGCTAGTTGCTTTTCTTGCTCCATCCCTCACTCCTCATTTCCACACACTCCCCTTCAGGGTGCAGGCTTTAACAACCACTGCATGCTAAACTGGTGCAAGTGATTGCCTTGTAGATTCCCTTTCTGAGTGACTTGCACCAGACACATTTTACACCAGTACATTTGGCACAGAGATTTCCAAGGTTATTGTCCTCAGTTACAGGCTCAGTTCTATATGACTTGCTTAATTTAACTGATGAGGGTGGATTGACTCATTTGAAGATTTCTAAACAGAACAAATTCTTCGCATGCTTCCACCTTTCTTTCTCCTGGTCTCAAGTCTTCAGCAAAGTGCTGTACTCACTTCTCTTTAATTATACTTTGTTTCAGTTCCATGTGAGTAAGTAAACCAACAACAGACTAAGACAAGAGTAAAGGCTGCATGAAAATGTCTATGCTCAAACATTTTCCCAGAATAACCAAGCCTCCATTTTAGAGACTAGGGCAAATAAAAGCGGAGATATTTTTGTAAGAGGCTCTCTCTAGCAGGTACTGTAAGTGTGTCTCTAAAACCAGGACAAAACACATACGTTTTTTTAATTGATAGGTACTTCATGATATCATAGACCAGGGGTCGGCAACCTTTCAGAAGTGGTGTGCCGAGTCTTCATTTATTCACTCTAATTTAAGGCTTTGCGTGCCAGTAATACGTTTTCACGTTTTTAGAAGGTCTCTTTCTCTAAGTCTATAATATATAACTAAACTATTGTTGTATGTAAAGTAAATAATTTTTTAAAAATGTTTAAGTAGCTTCTTTTAAAATTAAATTAAAATGCAGAGCCCCCCCGGACCGGTGGCCAGGACCTGGGCAGTGAGAGTGCCGCTGAAAATCAGCTCGCGTGCCGCCTTCGGCCTGCGTGCCATAGGTTGCCTACGCCGTCATAGATCCATGATAGATGTTTACCGCATGTACTGCACCTTAACACACTATGGATGGTCTGTACAGGGAATTGAGCATCTTGGGGTAGTATTCCCATATTTGCTGTTTGCAGATACCATGGCCAAGATTTTCAATTGTGGGTCCCTATACTTCAGCACAAAACCCCATATTTATACATCTAAATAAAAGTGCCCTGTTGTTGTTTTTTCAGTGGGGCCAAGAGCCCACAGCTCCCATAAACTCAGCACCTCAGCAAACTTTTCACACTCATTTAGACCTCGATCAGCAAATGTGGCAAAGAAAAGGCAGCTAGGCCTGAAGAGTGCAGAGATCCAGATAAGGAGGTGTGTGATTTCCAACTGCTGCACAGACCGTGGACAGCAGCAAGGCTCCCAAATGGAAAATGTTTCGTTGATAAATATCGCCACAGCTGCAATTTCAAAACAGCAAGACAACAGTTGTGTACATTGGCCTGCTCAAGGAAGTCTGTTCTGACATCTGTGAAAGTACGTTGTGTGTCAACACCCTCCCGAGGTTCACAGCCAAAAGGAAAACAAACCGCTACAGACAGTGAACTTTTCATGTATCAAAATGGTGTTATTAACAAGTGGTTTCTCTCTGGAGCTCCCTTTAATGAGGGCCCTGGTATTATACAGGGCAGTGGAATGGGGGATAGAGGGCGGGGAGGGGCTGCCATGAGGCCAGTGCTTTGAAAAGGTGACGTTCACCTTCAGTGGTGGGTTGGGGGAGTGGAAATCATGACCCTAGGGTCACATCTTGTGCCCATATGTATGTGCGTAGTGCCGCTGAAACGTATGCCGCTCCTTGCATGAGTAAGCTGAGCAGGATTTGATCCTTTGCTATCTAAGCAACGTACACTAGGTTCCTATTGGGCCTGTCATTTCTATGCAGACTTATCTCCATTGACTGCAGCTGGGAGTTCGGCTTAAAAATGAATGGCCCAAAGTATCTAATGGGACCCAGCAACTGGAGCTGTGGGTGCTCGGCGCGTAACAGGCTGTGTATGGTGCCTTGTGCGGTTAGGCTCATAGGACCTAAAATACTAGATGAAGCTGCTATTCATTTTTAGTCACAGTGCAAGAAACCCCACGAATAAGAGAGGAAGGCTGGTCTTGTGGTGACAGCTCTGGTGTGGAACTTAGGAGCCCAGCTCTGCCACAGAGTTCCTGTGTGACCTTAGGCGAGTCACTGAATCTCTATCTCCACTTCCCATCTGCAAAATGAGTATAATGTTACTTCCTTTCTCCTCCTTGGTCTGGTCGGGGTGCAGGCTCTTAGCGGAAGGGCCTGTCTCTACGTGTTTGTGCAGCGGTTAGCACAATTATGCCCTGAACTCAGTTGAGACTTTTCAGCATTAATGTAATAATAAATACTAACTGAAACCTGAGTGTGCTCAAAAAACCCTACAGTGACTGAATAGTCCTCATTCAGGTAAAATATGCAGAGCTGAGATGCTGACATTTTTGGCTGCAGAAATCCTTGTAGAAATGAATTTGTTTTGATCAATCCCCTGGCCCCAGCCTGTCAGATCTGAACTAGGAGGAGACATAATAATTCAGTGACATGTTCTCAGTCTTAGGGAAAAAAGAAAACAAATCAAAAGAAAAACCAGAAGTGAGATATTGCGGTGCAACAACAAAGATACTGGAACAAATTATTAAGTAATCAATTTGTAAGCTGTGAGGCACTGGGTCGCTCTGGGTCAGCACCGCCGACTGGGACGTTAAAAGTCCTGCCAGTGGTGCTCCCCGGCTAAGGAAGGCTAATACCTACCTGTTCTGACACTGCGCTGCACCCCGCAAGTGGCCAGCAGTGGGTCCGGCTTCTAGGCGGGGAGGCTACGGGGCTCTGTGCCCTGCCCCTACCCCAAGTACTGACTCCACACTCGCATTGGCCAGGAACTGGCCCATGGGAGCTGGTGGGGGGGGGGCAGTGCCTGTGGGCGAGAGCCGGAGCCGGACCTGCTGCTGGCCGCTTCAGGCACAGCGTGGTCCATGGTGCTAGGACAGGCGGGAAGCCTGCCTCTGCACACCGCTGACCGGGAACTGCCGTAGGTAAGTCTGCGCCCCAACCCCGCGTCCCAATCCCCTGCCCCAGCCCTGAGCCACACCCCCGTCGATACAGGAGGTAATTGCCCACTCTACTCAGCACTGGTGAGGCCTTAGCTGGAATACTGTGTGCAATTCTGGGTGACACGCTTTAGGAAATGTGGATAAATTGGAGAGAGTCCAGAGGAGAGCAACAAGAGTGATCAAAGGTTTAGAAAACCTGAGATAGGAGGAAAAGTTAAAAAAAACCCTGGGCAGGTTTAGTCCTGAGAAAAGAAGACAGGTTCCCGCTCAGTTAACAGTCTTCAGTGTTAATGGCTGTTATAAAGAGGACCACGATCAACTGTTCTCCATGTCCACTGAAGGTAGGACAACAAGTAATGGGCTTAATCTCCAGCAAGGGAGATTTGGGTTAGCTATTAGGAAAAACTTTCTAACTCTAAGGATAGCTAAGTTCTGGAGTAGGTTTCCAAGGGAGGTTGTGGTATTCCCATCACTGGAGGTTTTAAAGAACAGTTTGGACAAATGCTTGTCAGGGATGGTTTAGGTGTACTTGGTCCTGCCTCAGCGCAGGGGGCTGGAGTTGGCCTCTGAAGGTCCATTCCAGCCCTACATTTCTATGATTGCAAAGTTCTATCGCATAAAGATTTCTAACTATGCAGACTGTACTAGGGGATTATGGTAAACCCCCAAGCAGAACCAGTAGCGAGCCGTGCTGTAAAACAGTCACTCCTCATAAATCAAATAAACACACTGGGGGGTTCAGAGAATTCTGCTGACTCAAATGTTAGGGACAAAAGGGCTAGCTGAGTTGTTTCTGACACACGACTGTCAAAACTAGGGGCCCAATTCTGCTCTTCTGGCTCACAACAGTCTTTCGTTGAAAGCCGCGAGGCTGTGTGGGCGAGCGAGGCAAGCAGGGTTTGACGCTGTGGCTCAGTGCTATAGTACATTTATAAAGGCTTTTTGACTCCTGCACTGATTTTGGGTGGAACCAAAGGGTGACCCAGGAACCCCAGGTGCTAGAGTTTGGAGGATTTCCTAAAATAACACTAGCTCTCCAAGGAGATCAGCATCACTATTCCCATTTTACACAAGAGGAAACTGAGGCACAGGGAGTAAACATGACTTGCCCAAAGTCATACAGAAGGTCAGAGCCGGGAATAGAACCCAGGTCACCGGAGTCCCTGTCCAATGATCTAGCCACTCAGCCATACTCTTTCCCATATAACGCTCACTGACTTCAATGGAACTCGAGTACGTGTTTAACTTAAGCGCTGTCCTAAATCAGGACCCAGGGGAGAACAGATGGGTGCAGAAAGAAGCAGGTTTTTTCATTCTCCACTGATGAAACAGTATCTGCGACAGAAGGACAGAACTCCCTAAAGCTGAAAAATTCATGAGGAAACACTTCTCCTGAGGGAAAGTAGCTGTGAAGACAGAAGTCCTCCCCCCCTCTTCCTGCCCCACGAGAAGAATAGGGCATTCCATCCTCCCCACCACTTGTAAAGAGTTCACAGCCACTTTATGGGGGTTCCTTTGCTGCTCAGAAAATCCCCGCTGCATTGGAGATCAACCTCAGAGCCTCCCACTCCAAAAGCACAGGTCCATATTTCATTAAAGGGAGAATCGCCCTTGTTTGTGAGCAATCTAGGATCTATGAGACACAGCAGAGCCCAGACGGAGGGACAGGTCACGGCGGGGATGATAGATACACATCTTAGCCAGTTCATTACTGTAAATCACTGCAAAATCAGAATGCGAATTCTGGTGTCCTTAGGTGTCTAGGCACATAGACATAGATACTTCAGTAGGCAGTGGAGTTTAAGGGGAAGAGAAGGAGAATCCTACCTTCTTACCCGGGGATCGAATTAAAATGAAACGGTTTTTCCTTTTCAAGAGAGCGCGCAGATCCTGGCACTTCTCATAGCTCTCCAGTTCCACCGTTTCTAAGCATTTCTGTTCCTCCTGCAGAGCGGGGAGAGAAGGGGGAAGAAAACCTTTATGTGGAACATGATACCTCTCAATCAAATGCATACCAACAACCTCTGCAGTTTCATCCCACCTTTATGTCTCCCCAGTGCTCTTTCGCCTTTAAAACAATCCACGTGCAATTATAGTTACGCAGGCAGCAACCCTCCGTAACTCAGGCAAATGCCTCATGGAAGAAAATCCGCTGCTCTATAGGTCGTATGGCATTCAGCAGAGGCGTTCGCTCGCTTGACTCTTGTTGCTCGGAGCAGAACTGACAAAACTTTGCACTTCTGTAGTGCTTTCTACCACGATCTCAAAGTGCTTTACAAGCCTTAACTTAGCCTCGCAGTCCTCCAGTGCGTTAGGTAAATGTTATCCCTGTTTTACACACGGGGAAACTGAGGCACAGACCGTGACAACTCACAGCGGGAGTCTGGCAGAACAGGGACAAGAATCCAGATCTCCAGGATCTCTTGTGCTGCGGGCTTGGGTCACCTTTCCCCTCAATAAGAACAAGGGTCAGTGATGGCCGTAGGTTGTTTAAGCACATTTTTTCTGTCTGCAAGTTTGATCTGTCAAAACAGAATTCTTTTCTTACAAAGAAAGCAGCACTACCAATGCCTTGCTGGGGCCTAGCCATCCCTGGGGTAACGCCACTGAAGTCCATGAGGATTTCAATCAGACCCACTCGGCCCATTCTTCCTAATGACATAGCTAAACTTTCATGCACACGTTGTCCTGGTTCACTGTAGTTCCACAGAAACAGCATCGTTTTCAACTGGTCGATTTGGTAGGGAACACAGTGTAACACCCAGGGGATAGTATTATGGATTTATATCACGGACGTGCCAATCTCATTTGGGCCCCACTGCGCAAGGTGCTGTACAAACACCTAGCTGGGGGGTGGGTCCTTGCCTGGAAGAGGTCGCGATTAGCTCAGTGTTCATACATATTAATTTTTAACATTAGTGTAGCAAACCCTGAAGCCACATAAGTGGCGACCAGCAGCCCCTGCAGGCAGCGCATCAGGACGTTCACAGGAGGGGAGAGAGAGAAGCAGCACCACAGAGGCCTCTGAGATGTGAACCAAGGGGTGTTCCACTATGACATGGGCTCTGACTGGGACTCGGCTGCCAACTCCCATGAACTTTATGGAAGGTGGGGATCCAAATCCTAACATGGTGGCTCAGGCCCTGTCTGTCGCACACTAAAACTCCAGCTATGGGCACCCCCAAATGGTGGGTTCAGTCTCCGCTCCAAGCTTTGTGGCTCAGATCTGCCTCTAGCAATGATTAGCAAACACCAGGGAAACAGTGCAGAGGAGGCGTGTAGGCTGTGGGCTGCACGTCCTAGCCAGGAAGTTACTGAGCAGTTAGAGGCAGGGAATAGTCACAAGGAAGTGAACGGAGGGGGATTTCCTTGGTTTACCATCTGACATTTAAGTCTCAGGGGCCAGCTCTGGCTGTGTTGCAATTTCTTTCATTGCATTGTATTTGCGAGGAGGCCCCAGCTGCAGTGCTGGGATGCAGAGCAGGGGGCGGGCAACGCGAAGGTGCCGGGACCTAACTTAGGTTTGGATTTTTTGTTATTAAAGGAGCATTTCTTTCCATTTTAAACAGAGGAGGGGAGCGTGAGGGGAGAACGGGGAGCATTGGCATCAGTGTCTGACGTGCAGCTCCTGCTCACACTGAAACCAACTCACTCTAAAAAGGCAGGATCAAGTCAGTGCTTAATTTGTAATGAAATTGGTGTCAGGGCTCAAGCAACTTTTTGTACATTCATAACCGATGCAGCAAGCCCAGAGGTGCTGGGGCTATGAACTGCCATGCTTAGAGGTGCCGGGACTCAGCCCTGGCAAGCCCTGGTACATATTGAGCACTGGATCAAGCCCTCTGTGTAGATGGGATGCATTCTGACACAGGGCTCACGCGGCCCTTCCTTGCCATATAATTACAAACGTGTAAGGGATGGAAATAGAACATTTAATAATCCCTATAAGCCAGCAAATGACAGAGGAGAGTGAGGTCAAACACATGTGCCTATATGCTGGGTGATCTCAGCTTGGTTGTTAGAGGCGAGTTGCCCACATCATAAAATTGCCACCCAGTTAGTCGCCTCTCTGTGCAAGTCTGTTGTGGGTGAGGACCAAGGTGGATTGGCAGAGCTTTGTGGGGCGGTTCGCTCAAAAAGCCTGTTGGCAGTAGGTCTGGCTCTACTCTGTGCCAGCAGCTGTGCTCGCAGCATGTCTCTAAAGGCCATTTAATTCTCCTCAGCCCTCCACCCCTTCTTTCCTGCCTAAAGAGTTTGACAGGCACCCTGCCCCAGATCCCACAGAAGCCCTTCTCCTGTCTAAGACTGGGAGTGGATGGGTCATTACACAAAGTAAAACCTATTTCCCCATGCTAATTTTGCCCCCTACTGTTACTCACACCTTCTTGTCAACTGTTGGAAATGGGCCATCCTGATTATCACTACAAACGTTTTTTTTCTCCTGCTGATAATAGCCCACCTTAATTGATTACTCTTGTTATAGTTAGTATGGCAACACCCATTTTTTCATGTTCTCTGTATATCTCTCTCTTCCTACTGTATTTTCCACTGCATGCATCCGATGAAGTGGGCTTTAGCCCATGAAAGCTTATGCTCAAATAAATTTGTTAGTCTCTAAGGTGCCACAAGTACACCTTTTTAAGAATAGTTAGTGGCTCTGATAGTTTTGGGAGCGCAGAAGGCATGGCAGGTGAGGGACCAGAAGCTCTACAATGGACATCACCCCCCTCCGAAGCTGGTCACTGCAGCATTTAACCTTCAGTATTTCCCTGGGGGGAGGAGTTGGGGCTTAGGCACAGCCAGGGAATAAGTGACGACACGTCCGTCTCCGGCGCAGTACTGATGGGGGATGCAGAGGACTGTGCAAGGGCTGAGTCTGTGTACAGGCCCCGTCCTAGGGCACAGGCCTGATTTCTAGGCCATGCCCCCATCGGGAAGAGGGGATTTCAGAACCTGGAGTTTCCCAAGTAAATTACCCCCTCTGGAGAGGGGGAGAAAAGGGTGGCCTGGACCAATATGAAGGAGGAAACCCTATACAAGAGGCCAAGGAAGATTCTAGGTTTGGACTGTGTCTTAATGTGACTTTTGTGTGTAAACGTGACAGGTTACCAATGGCAAGGGGCTGGCCTTTGTTCTGTGCCCAGCCAGGTCACAAGGAGATGCTACCTATCTAATGTCCACAGCAGAAATCCAGAACTGAAGGGCCTGACTCTGAGATGTGCTGAGTGCCAGCATGTCCCTAGGATCTTGTGGCAGTGATATACGCTCAGCACCTTTCAGGATCAGCCAGCTCTGAGTTCTGGAGACCTGCTCTTATAAATGGGACTCGTCAGTCTGTCCCACACCTGCTTGGGTTCTGGTTTTCTCTCGTGTCACAGGGGAGTTCCAAAAATCGTTTTGTGTCGTACTAAGATACAAAGGTTTAATTCAGCAGCTGCCTTAGTCTGCAATCAAGGGTTTCCCTTTATCTTGTAGCACAGCTGTTTGGGGGTGTCCCACGACATTTCAAATACTGTTCAGCTATTGGTGCAGGAGCATTACACATAACTGTTGAGAGGTGACAGCGGGATGGTGAAATTTATTCACTCCTCCTTTCGCTTGACATGTGTTAGAGGATGATTTTTAAATCACTTTTGCACTGGCTAGGGTTAGGGGCATTAATAAGACACTTAAAACCCTGATGCAAGAAAGCAGTTAAGCATGTGTGTAACTTGAAGCATGAAAATAAACTCATTGATTACTCCGGTAGTAGACAACTTGACTGCTGACTGCTTAAGCACACATGTAACTTTAAGTGCTTTGCTGGATTGGGGCCTTAGGCAGAAAGTTATTCACACTAGGACACTTTTACATATTAATACATGTATTCAAAGCATTGATTGTTTAAAAATCATGTGGGTACAGCTAGGTGAAAAATGGAAGGTTGCCCCCCCCACACACACAAAATTTCAAATGTTTGTTGAAAAACCCCAAACTGAAATGTTGTTGTGTTTGGCAGTCAAGAATATTTGACTGAAAATTGCTGAAACCCTAAAAATGACAAAATTTGGGGGGGATTTAGTTTTATGATTTTCCAACACAATAATCAAGTATTTTCTATGAAAGTTGTGACTTTGCATAAAAATTTTCATCAACCTGAAAATGCCATTTTCCATTTTTAAAAAAAGTTTTGATTGAAAATGTTTGACCAGCCCCAAATGTGCTATTTGTGGCTATCCACTGAGTATATGTCTAGATTGGCTGTAATAATAATTTCCGTTTCTGAGGATCTCCAAGTAATTTAATCAATTAAACCTTGAAATAGGGAATGCATTATCTCCACTTAACAAATGGGGGAAAGGCAGGCAGAGATGGTAAGCACTTGACCAAGGTCACACAGGAAGTCTACTGCAGAACCAGCGATAGAATCCAGATGCCCTGACCTCCAGTCCTGTTCTTTACATGCTAGATTATGTTCCTTGATGCCTTAAGTGATATACATTTAATAACATAACTAACCAACTTTTCACATTAGTTCTGTTACTTTGCATAAAAAAGGATCACAGGTAATTTCAAGAGTGAGTGATACTGTCTAATTTGTACTGGGACTGCACCAACTTTTATGTTTAACCTCCTTCTGTACAGGAGTCTTTGTTCTTCAGATATCCTTTGTAATTCTCTGAGTTTCATTTTCATTCTGGCCAAGATATACATTTCTCTTGAAGACAGGCAGAATCATTATTTCATAACAACTCTATTCTATTCTATATATGCTTTTATACCATGTTTATCATTGTAATATCAGAGCAGCTCCCTGAGAATGTGAGTACCATGTACGTGTATGTATTAGTATGGGTTTGTGTGCAGCATACATACTAAAAATGTATCTCAGGTAGCACAGTCTGAGTTCATGTGGAGGTTAGGGTGTGGGGTAATGTAGATGAAGCCAAAATGGGATACAGGAAATACACCTAACTTCATACCACATCAACTGAAGGAAGTTTGAAGCATATTAAAGGTACCCGAGATTTTCACCAACCGTCTGCTCAATGTAAGCTGATAGCCAATTACTGTTTGCCTTGGGAAGACAGCTACCCTTTAAAACAACCCTAAAGCCTGGCTAAGAGATGATGAACATGTTTCAAAGTGGACTGGCAAGTCCGAACTGCCAAATCTCAATCAATAGAAGATAACCACAAATGATGCTAACACAGTATTTGTGCTAGTCTTATGCTATATTTTTCAGTGACGCAATATGATGTGGCTAGATTTTCAGCTGCTCTTAGCTTTGCCTCCAATTGTGTAGGCACAAACTTTGTACACACAAATATTTCCATGTACAGCTTGCACACTTGTGCACTCAGAAAAACAGGCGTGGCATTTGGACCTACAAACAAAGCAACTGTTAGGGTCCAGCATTAGAAAACCTGGCCCTCTACTGACACCGATTCATGAAGGATTGGATAGGTTGGGAGGCTGGTAAAAGGATGTGTTGGCTTTTGTCTCTTGGTCACTGGTTGAAGTCCAGTGAACTGGTGGGGCCTGGTCCACTGCTTCATAGACAGCCAGGCCTATCCTAAAACCCTACCCTTGCCAGGAGTCACAACAGAGAGGCCTTTGAAGCTGACCTCCCATCTCACCCCTTCGGGTCAGGCTTGGGACACATTAGGATGGAATCATGCACTATCGTGTTGCGCAGGCTATCCCTGGCCTGCGTGTAAGGAGAGGCCTTCACTTCCTAGGGCTATTAACCCCAACCTTTCAAAAGCACAAGCAATTCCATTTAAAACTATTTGATTCTCAAAAGAGTAAAGGAAGCCGTATTCCTCTTTCGGCCTGCAACGAGAGATACTGGAAAGGGATGTAGGATGGCCATGGGGTTCAGGTTGGGCACTGAGCAGCAGAAGATGCAGGTTCAGTTCCCCCTGCGCCACAGACTTCTTGTGCGACCTTGAGCAAATGATTTTCATTTCTCTGGGACTCGGTTCTCTCTCTGTAAAATGGAGATAATACCACTTCCCTACCTTGCGGGGTTGCTGCAGAGACAAAGACATTAAGTGGCTCCGATATTACAGGGATGGGGACCTTTTTATAAGTGCCTCACTAACAACAGTCATTTCCTTCAGTACCCCAGCAGCAAATCTGCACAAGCGTATGCTGTCTTATTACACTACCACGTAACTTCGGAGAATTTCCACTCCTAAGATACACGTCTTCAATATATGCCACTTCAATAGCCTATAGATATTACCATGGCCCTGTATTTCCAACAGTGGGACGAGCCCGCTAACCAAGGTTACAGATGCAATTTATTACAGGATGTTACCACAGCCAGAAAATATTGTGTCTGGTTGTTATAAATGTCCTTTTTTCCCTGTTGAGAAAATAAAATACCTCTTTAAACGACGAGGGGTTTTCCTTCCCCTGAACGTCTGTGGAGATTTAGCTTACTTTAAAATGCCTCATTTCCTTCTGTGAAGATAAAAACCTCAATATATCTAGTTTTCAAAGGTGTCCCCTTTTAGAAGCCCATGTCTTCTTTATAGCCCTGAATCTGTGTGATTCTGAGCACTTGAAACTTCAGCTGGAGTCTACAGCAGTCCGGGTACTTGGCAGCTCTCAGGAGAGACTCAGTAATTTACAGGATTGGGCCCCATGTCTTGCCACACAGCTGTAGGTCTAGTTACTCCCCCTACACCCAAGCTAATAAACCTGTGCCTAACTTTCTGGCGGCTGTCGAAGATTTTATTTTGACTCCTCGTTTAAACGCTCATAAAAGCACTTCATGGTGCTGGCAGTTTCAGAGCTAGCTGGAAATTTCCCATCCGGATGGATTTCTGGTGGAAAATGCCCTTTTCGCATGGGAACATTTTGATTTTGCTGAACAACTTTTGATTTTTCCATCAGGCTCCCCAGCTAAAATGGTGGCTCCCCAGCTGCCCTCCTGGAAGGCTCCTGGCAATTTCCCTTTCTGCCCGCAGGGAGAGAGTGAAGCTCCCAAGAGCCTTTCGGGGGGACTGCAGCGAGACTCGGGAGGGAGGCAGAAAACGGGGGTACTCGGCCTCCAGCAAGCCAAAAAATTCGGGTTTGGTTCTCTCAAAATGGGTGTTTTTCAGGAAATCCCTTCCCATGAATTATCTTGCATTTTTGACTTTGGGTCCCAGTTTGGGATGAACAATCTTTGAAAAACGTAATTTTTTGCATGAGGGGATTTCCATTCTCTGGCCGGCTCTGCTCAGGACAAATGGCCTCAAAGGGGCAATGGCGATTGCCGGGGGGCCCACCCAGTGGCATTTGACTTGACTGATTTGTGTCAAACCTTCTCCATCAGGTAGCACATTTGGGGGGGGGGGGGGAAGGAAGAGAGAACCAAAAGTATTTTTCAGGGTTGCTCTTCCTCAAATCATCGCAATAATGTAACTAGTGAAATATTTCCCCATTCTGGTGGCTCTGACACACAACACACACACTTTATTTACGTGCTTTGCATTGCAATTTTCTTATAATTCTGGGCCTGGTCCTGCAAAATCTTGCTCACACAGGAAATCCCACTGAAATCATGGAGCCTGATCCTGGAAATCGTTACTCATGCATGCAGTCTCATTGAAGCCCTGCAGGACTGGGCCCTATATTTTCATGCATTTATAATCCTCATTGAATGCAGATGCGAGTAAGATTTCATTTGGCTCTTACTTCTCGGTTGATTGAAAAGAGTATTAAACTAGAGCATGGCTCTCTAATTTTTCGCATGTAAGTAATCCCAGTAAAGTGCATAGAAGGGCTCCCAGGAGTAAGGCTGAAGGAACGGGTCCTACTCCAATGCAGTTTAGTCCTGCTTTTGATCAAATAGAAGGGAAAAGCCAAGTAAAATCTGCCTTGTGTCTGCATTTAAGGACCATTACAAATGCTCACAAACACCCTCCACGCCCATGAATGGGAAAGTGAAACCCTGAAGAGCTTGAAACGTTGCAGGCCAGACATTTGAAGGCTGCCAAACAGCTGCAAGGCTGTGTCATTCACTTGAGTAGCAGGTGGGAAGTCAGCCTGTTGCAATTCAGTTTTATAATTTAAACAGCAAAAAAAATCCATGTCCCACTCTCCTTCCCACTGCTCCCAAATTGATAATCTGCTCCATTTCTTACAGAATCTCTTTTTTTTTTTCAAATTTGGCAATAGCATTGACAGTTTCTTGTTATGGGTGCAAATATTTATAATATAGAGTATACTCTAAAATGCACCAGCTGTCTCCTCTCTATTGCATTTAACCTTCCAGGATTTTTCTTGACAAACTAAATGGGACTAAATGAACCGGAGGAAAGGGTGAAGGACAAACTTCTAGTGTCGTCTAAGGGCCTGATCCCATTCCGCACCATGCAGGATAGGGCCCTTATTCAGGAAAGCCTGAGCAAACCGTACCTCATCTTCGTACACCAGTAGCTGCGTTTTACATAACAGGATGTAACGATCTTTCCATAATCCCAAAAGACCTCCACTGCTTTTCTTAATCCAGCCAGCTTTGTCTGCGGTTGGAGCACGTTTTGGTTTCTCTGTGACCTCTTCTTTCACACCCTGCAAAGACACCACAAAAAGCAAAGGGAAGGAAGATTATTGTCAATTGCACTTTTCAGACCTAGCCAGCAGTAGCTACGTATTCCAAAGGGCCTGCTGAGGAGAGGTGCTGGGCCCCCCACCCCTCGCACTGAGGCCACTGGCAGGATGCAGGGCCCATATGTGCTCTTACAATCCCTTTGTTCAAGTTTGGCAGGTCCTCTTTGCCATGCACGTCTCTCACCAGGAGTCACAATCTGGCCAGGGGCATTCACTCCCCACCGTTCACTAACTCGGAAGAAAAAGATCGGGGTCAGGCTTCACCTTGCAGGGAAAGGACAACTCAGGCAGGGTCCCTTCATGCAGCTTCCACCTTGGGGAGGGGCTCGGCAGAATGGACTCCAGAACCAATGCGTCAGGAGGGAGCTGGCAGAAGCGAAGGCTGCCTCTGCCCCCAGACCCCTTGTTAGCCCCCCGGGGGGCTCTCCGCACTTTCAGCACAGTGGCGTAGTTGCACTGCTGGGGTTTTCCTTATCGCTGCTCTCCGGGGCCCCTTTTTAAACAGGGGCTCCCTGCACCACAGCCTTTGAAAAACATCACCCACATCTCAAGTTGGTGTTGGCTGGAGTTCGACTCCAGCTCTGTTCCTAACCCACCCTAGGAACCCCGGAGAATCTCCTGGGCTTCCTCCGGCTCCCATTGTAGTCAATGCCGCAACTCCCAGGATCCAGCCCAGAGCTGCTCTTAGGCAGTTTCTCCAGGCCCAGTTTTTCTCTCGGAAGCTTAGCCATTTCTTCCATACATGTGATGCTGTCGGCTGTGGGCTGCACTGCTGTAACCTGGAGAATTGTGGGCCCCTCTGTAATGCTGGGTACGGCATTCTGAGACTTGCGTATTAACAGTGCTAGGCTAAATTGCACCGTGTGATGCGAAGGCACCAGGAACAAGGGCTTAGCTCTCTGCACTCTGTTGTTCCTCACACCGGCTGAGTCCCTACGTTCAGACTAACTTCTGCAGCAGGCTGATTTTAACTTGAGTGGAAAGAACTAGCAGGAAAAGAAGGAAGTTGAAAGCAACAGTTCCTTTTATTTGGGACGTTTAATAGCTGTGGCAAGCAAAATTTTCTGTGTCCCCCCTCACCCGCCCTATCTTCATCTAATCGCCAATCCTTGCCTCTCCACAGCCACCTTTTCCAAACCTCCAATTCACTGCTTGGGCCTGGATTATCCTGAGGGCACCCACTGCACACACATCTCCCCTGACTCATAGGGAAGGGGTGGAAGGCCAGCTATCTCCCTGACATCATGGAAGCCCTCCATGGGGCCGGGGTTGTGCACTGTCCCTGCGCCAGTCCCCAGTGGAATATGCTGCAAAGACAATACACTGCTTTAGGGAAGCTGGCGCTAGGGAAATCTCCCTGTCAGTCTGAGTCCTGGCATTGAAAATGTGGGAAGAAGGGGGTGGTAAGTACCCGCAAAAGAGCAAAATCAATGTCCAAGTGTTGGCTGTGCAGCCCCGCTTTGTTTCAGTGCCTTGGCGTTTAACGAAACACTGGTGGGCAAATCAGTTTCCATTCTCTGGTCTCTGCTGCTACATTAATAGACCTTTTTCGCTTATTCCCCAGGCTGGTCTTAGTTTCCATCATCATGAGACACTACTTAGACATGCAGATGCTACTGTGCAGGCGGCTCACAGACAACTGCTGGCTGCACGGGTTTATCAGACACAGACCTGCTCTGCTCCAGAGCTACAGGGCCTGATTCTCATCTCCCACACACGAGTGCTGCCTTCCATTCACCACAGCGACGTTACTCCTGATTCCCACCACTGTAAGTGAGATCAGAATCAGGACGGTGGGGTTAGAGCCCAGTCACTTGTCCTAAGAGTTCATACACAGGTTACAGCAACGTACCCCACCCAGAACTATTCCTGCTTAATCTCAGGTTTGAGGGAAGTGGAATTTTTGAAGGTCTCGGGATTGTCTCCAAAAATCTCAGGATTTGGGGGAGGAAGCAGGTCCCACAGCCCTGGGCTCGCTGCAGGTACTGTGACCGCAGCACGTGGAGGAGAATCACAAGTGCTTGTGACAAGTCCTTGTGACAAGGAACGCAAGTTTTCATTCTTGAGCCCCATCGTTTTCCAGATCCACTTACAATGGGGAGATGAATTACTCTTGTGATTTAAAAAATAAACTGAAATGTATCTGGTGCCAATAATCTTTTCAGATGGAAGAAAGAAACCCAGGAAGGGGAGTCTGTGGTCAGCAAAGCCTCCTTAAATACAATACACTTAAGGCGCAAGCTCTTTTCAAGCTTCAGGGCACGTTCTTGAATAGCCATTGCAATGGAAGACAAACAGAATCCATCTTTCCCCAGTGCTCCCCATTGTTTCATCTGGGCTGCTGTTGGAGCGCTGACCCTTTTATGAGTCTCTTCTGCGGGAACAGGCAGAGATTTGGAATCCCTTACTGTACCTTCAGCTGAGCCAACTCCCCTGGAAACAGCACATCAGCAAACTTGTGACTGCAACAGGAGACTGACCCAGAATTCTCCAATGTATTTCAGGAGAATGACACCTTACATACAGGCTGAGTTTCATCCAAACTCTGTTGGGACAAGAGGCTTGTTCTGTCTAAGATAAATCATGGAAGCTTTGCGCTCTTCTTAGCAATGCTAAATTAGCATGCAATATGAAGGCAGAATCCCAACGCATCCCAATATGGTGCTGGTTAGTTACGAAATGCAACTCTTCTTGTAAGAAAGAAGTTCATCAAAGTCACTGAAACTTGGCCATCGTTTTTTTTTTTCCAAATGAGGAAACGCAGAGTGCAGTGACGGAGATCAAAATCAGATAGTCCCATGGCCAGAACTGATTACAGACAGAGCTAGCCTAGAAGGAGGTGTTCCAAAAACTGAGTGTGAGGTTCGCTGTCAGATGATGTGAGCCTTGGTAACGAATCTGTTTCCATGCATCCGACTCACAATGAACACACCCTTGGATTACAGCTGCCATTTGTTTGAACTGGAACTGCAGGGAAGGCAGCCACGCCAATAGAGGGAGGGGGAGAAAGTGACTGAGTTGTTGTGTATATAGGGCCTTATTCCAGTGCCTACTGAAGTCCACGGAACGGCTCCTATTAATTGTAGTGGGCTTTGGAGCAGGTCAATACTAAGAAATGATGTATCTTGGCATGTATTTATAGAGCGATTTACCTGTGATAGTTGGGTCACGCTAAGTAGCAATTGAAAATGCCACAATACAGGATGGCAGTACATGCAAAGCTTTTCATGAAAATGAGGTGGTATTATAATTCTTGTTCGTTTGTTTTACCTAACTTTTTAGGTTGCCAGGAAGTTGTATTCTGTTGTGATCTGCCAGGAAACATCAGCTAGTGCACAAATATAGACGTGCTGGTTTCCTGAACGAGCCGCCTTTCGCTGTCATTCATAGGACCCTGGGGCTTGATTCCAATCTCCCTTACAGCAGTTTTACACTGGTGTAATTCTACTGGGTTCACTGGAGCCGCTCTGGATTTACACTGGGAGGAGAATCTGTCAGCCCCAAGCGCTTAATTTTACAGAAATTTCAGAGTTCTAACAGTTTTTTTGCAAGAGGATATTAAAACATGCATGATCCCCACTTAACCCATCAGATAGCAGAAATGCTGTCAAGAAATGCATCCAGGGATGTACGTGATAGACCTCTGACTTAGCTCTGCAGAGTGAAAACTCCCCCATTCCTGTTGTTTCTGTGGTTTTAAATAAAAAATGTTCGGTGTAAAAACGTAAGCTGTTAATTTATACTCCCAGAAACCTACCGGCCCTGTTACCGCTCATGTTTTAGTTCATTTTCATGATCAAGCTTATACTGTAAGAATGTGCAAAGTGATGTTGGAGTTCAAGTGGTGCTGTAGGAGCCAGAACCTTGCAGTCCGTACTCTTTCATGGTTTATATTTAGGACCGGTCCTGATCCGGTGTGCTCCCCGTGGATCCACTCGTTCTTTAATGTTTCGGGCTCAGTGATATTCACTGTACTCCTTTATCATTTCAGGACTTCTTCTTTAGGGTTAGACTGACCCCTCCAAGCTGAAATCCACAAGGAGGGAATAAGAGGGAGGAGGATCCCTGTAAGGACCCCTTTGCGGAGCTTCCCCTCCAATCGCTCAGGGACACAAGTCTGGTCCATACCATGGAATGAGCCACGTATGTGCAGAACGTCCAGGATCTGCACGTCGAAACTGTGCAGAACGTCCAGGATCTGCGCGTCGCCCAGGGGCTTGGCAGGCGCCATCCACATGGAGGGTTGGCGTCTGGCTGCTGGCACCACAACCTCCCGCTCCCTGTCTGCGTGGCCCGGTGGAGCCAGAACACTTGACCCACCCCCTTACCGAAGGGTTCCCCAGTGCCAACAGCTTCTGGGGCAAAGGAAATAAAGCCTGGGGCTGTGATACTGTCCCCAGGGAATGGTGTTGGGGGATGATGTGCATAGGCGCCGACTCCCTGGGTGCTCTGGGGCTGGAGCACCCCCGGAGAAAAATTAGTGGGTGCTGAGCACCCACCAGCAGCTCCCCGTGGCCCCGCCTCACTCCCCTGCTCCAGCTCACCTCCGCCTCCTCTGTGAGCGTGCCGCCACGTCCTGCTTCTCCCCCCTCCCTCCCAGCGCTTGCGCTGCGAAACAGCTGTTTCGTGGGGCGGGGAGGAGGAGGAACACGGCACGCTGGGGGAAGAGGCGGGGCTGGGCGGGGATTTGGGGAAGGGGTTGGAATGGGGCGGGGAAAAGGTGGAGTCAGGGTGGGGCCAGGGGCAGGGGGGCGTGAGCACCCACTGGCGCCAGAGAAAGTTGGCGCCTATGATGGTGTGGCACCCACCAACCCCAGGTCAGCCCTGCACCCTGCCAGTCTGGGCCTGCACAGATCCTTACCCCACAGAGCAGGCTCCCATAAACGGGCGGTGGAATGGTTCTGTGGAGACTGCCAGCCCCCGGTTCCCTTCCAAACAGGAAGGGAGATCCATGAGCAGAG